GGACGGACCAATAATCAGGGTCTCAATTGAAGTGGAAGCTATTGAAAACTTCTAGACCTTCGAGCAGCTCAGATGACCATGTACTGAATAATGTCGGAGTCATATCGAATAGGAGACGGAAACACACTGTCCTCAATTAATACTTCGTGCTGCCGAATACATTCACAATCCTATTTCCGAGATTAGTAAAAGCCCTAGGCTTGAGAACGAGGAGTTGAAACAAAGCAGGTATCGTATTAATGGAGCCTATTATTTCCCTCTGAGAAACCTTAACGACGAATTCAGAATTAAGTGAAAACTGTTGGCCCGATTTTTGAAAAAAAATTCATTATCCTCTCCCCTTATGATGCTTTACAGGGATAATGAAACAACTAATCAAATGGAACCAAAATGTGGATAAGGAGTCGGTAAGAATCCCAACTGGTATAAGGCAAACCAGATGGTTATTTTACAAGCATTGCCGAGGATTTAAATTTGGGACTACCGAGAGTTAAATTTAGGAAGCGGTCAGGGGGGAAATGGACTCGCCTTGGGGAATCCGAATTACAAGTCCAGCGCTCTAAAAGCGCGGCCACTCTGCCTCCTACCATATTCTATATCGTACATTGTTAATTTACGCGCAGACCTAACAGACAAGGACAAAACAACACCATGTAGCTCCACTATTACTTTATTAAGAAAAGTTACTTCTCTTAGTTTATCTAACGTTAGACTGCGAGCAGTCTCTCTTTTTCTTCAGACTTAGGGAGAGGAGTGCACGCGCGCGCGAGTGTCGAGCGGCGAAGCGTGGTCATTTGCGCGTCTCGCGCGTTTTGCGCGATAGACCAAGAAAAAAGAGAGAATGCTCGTAGTCTAATCTAACGTATTCATTCCAGGTTTTGTTTCCCATACAATTTCTCATACAACGCTTTGGTGACCTGTGTTAAACCGCAGGTTCACCGTATTATACAATGCTGGTTTGTCTGCCAGTTCAAGGAATCTTTATTTTGGTAGAACCTGGTTAAATCGCTCTATTCTGCTCTCTTTGTAATTTAGGTAAAAACAAAGGTGCGACCGGAGTAACTGTTATTAGTCACTGCTAATGAACAGTTCATGCAACAAATTAACTGACCTGGAACTGAATCTAGAGAGCGATCTTAAATGTTTACAATATTCTAAAATGCAGATGGGAAACATCGCATCGGTATAAGCTGCAAAAACTAACCCCAGTTAACAATAAAACTAAATCTAATTTAGTCAATACATCACTACACATACCTAAATGAAGTACATCATATTTACAGAGCTGGTTGTTTATCAATTAACTTGCACCTTTGGGCAAGGCATGTTTCTCGGGCACT